GAGAGCTGCGAACCCGAGCCCGGACTCACCCCCGGCGCCCTCGGGATGAGATCCGGCTCTCGTCGGGTCCTCCCTAGAGAGTCACCCTCCAGGAATGTCTGTGTATGTGTGTTCGTCAAACTGCTGTGTCTGGAATTGGGCTGCGTGACCCCAAAGGTGATCGCAGCAGGGAAAGTGGGAAGAAATTTGGCGCTTCTCAGGGCAGAAAATCTGTGTGGCATTGCTAATAAAAATAGTGCATAGTTGATATTCACAGAGTCATGGAATGGTTTAGGTTGGAAGGGACCTTAAAGATAATCTGGTTTGGACGCCCCTACTATGGACAGGACACCTTGTATTAGACCAGGTTGCTCAGAGCTCCATCCAGTCTGGGCTTGAACACTGACGGATGGGTCATCTGCACCTGGTGGTCCTGTGTCTCACCAGCCTCACAGGAAAGAATGTCTTCCGAATATCTAATTTAACCTACTCTCTTTCATTTTAAAGCCATTCCCCCTTGTCCTATCACTACATTCCCTAGGGAAAACAAACAAACAAACAAAAACACTTGCAATTTTCTTGCAGCCCCTGTAGATACTGAAAGGTGCTATAAGGTCTCCCCTATGACTTCTCTTCTCTGGGCTAAATTATCTCCCACCCTTAGCCTGTTTTCATAGGAGAGGTACTTCAGCCCTCTTCTTTCTGTCCAGCACCAGACATTTTTAAGGTGGCTATAAAAAACTGTAGAATTAAAAAGAAAGCAGCATCATTAAAGAATTCCCCAGGCAGATACATTGAAGTGATAAAGTGTCTGCTAAAACTATTTAACAACATAATGCTGGCTTTTTTAGTGTCGATGTGTAAAAAGCTGGAGCCATGAGATGTGTAAAGACTGGGGTCATGACTAGAAGTGGGGGGATTATAGCACCTCCAAAGAAGCAAATGAACTCTGATCTTCTCCCCTCCACCTTCCTTAGGCAGGCGAATATGCACAGTGAACATTCACAGCACATATCAGAGGAGAGAATGCATTCCTGAGCTCTGAAAAACATGTTCTGTAACACTGGACAGCCAGTGCACAACTCCCTTTGTGAAGCAGATGAGTTTACAGGTGATTAATCTACTTACCGAAACTGCCCACGTTGTTGGGTTATTAAATCCAGCACCAGGTACTTCCAGGGGAAACTGTAACGTGCTATGTAGGAGCTGTAATTCATCAATCACCACTGAGCTTGTTTCCATAGAGTTGTGTTAGTAAAAGCCTGAGTGTGGATTTGGACAGTGTCACATCATGTACTGTGCTGTGCAGGCATCTGCATGCAGTGAGAGCACCTGTGACAGCCTGAGCTTTCTGCTCAGGGAGCATAAGCCCAAACAAGCCCTTCCAGGGACTCACCCCATCACTAAATCCTGCCTCTGCATCCTGAAGAGCAGCATAGTGTTATATCCTTCATAAACAGGGTTTGGAAGGGATTTAATCTACAGTAATGATCATTAAAAAAAAAATAAAAAGCACATTAGTTTTCTTTTATGAGGAATGTATCAATACAAGGAATTACTGTGTGGTGGAAACAGTCTATTAAAGAGTTGTTCAGTGCTTTTTTTCCCAGGAGTTGCTTGACACTTTGCTGGAGGTGGGATGAGGAGCTCCAGTTTGATCATCTGTTACTGTCTCTGTTACCTTTTTGCCTTGATGCTCTCCTACTTTCAGGCAAATTGGTTGAATTTGGTGCTTCATTTGCTTCACAATAATGGTGAGTGATTGGGACTGTTTACAGAAAAGAATCTCTGGGGAACAGCTAGCTCACCAGTAATAGGGCTGTGCATCAGGTTTGGGGATTTCTGCCAAGCATTTCTGGGAGGAGGGAGGGAGTGAGAAAGTGATGAGAAAGAAGAGTCTGAGCACTCTGCATTTCACTGCCTGTTGTACCACACCTGCTCTGCCCATGAGTTCAACAGAAAGAAAAGAATGAATCTAGTAAAACAGCTGATTTATCATCATAAAACATATAAAGCTTCACTAGGTTGGATTAACCCAGCAGCCAAGAATGTCCTAATTATTAACAGTTAATCAAGTTGACACTGGCACAGCCGCCCAGAGAAGCTGTGGATTCCCCATCCCTGGCACTGTTCAAGGCTGGGCTGGATGGGGCTTGGAGCAACCTGGGATAGTGGAAAGTGTCCCTGACCAAGGCAGCGGGGTTGAGATGGGATGATCTTTAAGTTCCCTTCCAACCCAAACTGTTCTATGATTCTGTGGCTGAAGAAAGGGAGTGAGAGATGTTTTGGTTTGGTTTGTTTTGTTTTTCTGTGTTTTCAGCCCCATCTCTGCACCATTTCTCTGGAGCACACAAGAGAGGACATGGTGCACCCCTCCAGCCACACCTACCTTGGTCACAAGTTGCCAGGAGGAGATATGGAGGAGAGCTCTGCAGTGTCTGGGTTTGCTCAGAAAGGCTCCTTTCTGTAAAGCAAGGCAGAAGAGGAGTGTGTTTGCCCCAGAGATGCCTCAGGGAGGCACGGCACAGTGGCAGGGGTGTAGCATGGAGAGTGCAGAGCATGGAGAAGATCCACAGGTCTCTGCCAGCACCTGGCTGAGCCAAGAGCAGAGAACAAGACCAAATCCACCTGAAACAGCAACTGTGGAGCCTATTTCTCCTTTTTATATCAGTGTTACACTCACTTAATTCCTTTAGATGCTCTCAGCTTCCCTGATGCACCCCAAGGAGTGTGGAGGTAACAAGTGCTCTCTGATAATGCCATGGGAATTACAGCAGGGTCCAGCCCAGCGTGCTGGATCTGATCCCCTCATGCTGAAGCATTTCACTAGCAAGTGTCATTTGGATGGTTTTGGGAAAGAGTCCAGGATTTGTTTCACACACAGTATTTCCTCAACAGCTCAGTGAATAAAAAAATATAAAATAGTTTGAACTAATCATGCAAATCTTGCTTGTCATCTTATGCAGAGGAACTATATCTATTCTAAAGTCTGGGCCAGGGCTTTCAACTGCTGATGGGGGATAGTTGTGCAGACTTCAAAGGAGCTGTATCGGCTTTTACCAAGTGGGGATCCAGACCTTTATTCATGTTTTAAAATTCAGAAACTGTGCCTAGGTAAAGCATTTTTCTCTATATTTCTAGGTAGCCAGTTTTTTATTTTATAGCTGTTCCCTCAGTGGCAGGATTGTTTCTCAGTAGTCAATGTTTAAAGGCCCTTCAAGACTGAAGGAATTAAAAATGAATAATTTAAAGCTGGTCTATGATGCATAATTTTTAACATATGTTTTACAGGCCATGTGGAACACTTTTTGACTTGTCAGTAGATATTTTACAAACATGCTGTGCTGGAACCTTTTTTATTTAAGAGTTAGATTTGAGCCCTCCTATGCCTCAACACAGCAGCATGCTGGAGTCTACAAGCCATAACAAAGAAGCCATTATCACCAGCACGGATCAGAAGAGAGGAGAAATGAAGCAATTGCAGAACTTTTTTCCTCTTACACACTCTGCTAAAACAAATGTGGGCAGAACTATGGCTCTTCCATCTTAAGAAGCCTCATCCCAAGGTAGAGGTAGAGGAGCTGTGATTTGTTCACTCTAAAACTCCAAAAGAGATGGACCTAGATGGTGCTGGAGAAGAAGCCATGAAACATGTTGTCTTTGGGGCTTTTTTTTGAAGGATGGCTGGAGGATTTTTTTTGCCAACCTCCTGTTAAATATTGTGCTAGGAACGCCATCTGAGTAATTCTTGACAGTTTTAATAGGCAAAGCCAATTGCTGATAAATAAAAATCTTTTATGGATTTCATTTCTTGTCCCATCCTGACTGCTTGCAACAAGAAAGGGAGGAGGCATCTACCCTGCAGATGCTCAAAGGCAGCTGGGTTTTAACCTTATTGACTGGTTCCCACACTCTGCCTTGTTTTCTTGGATTGTCCAGCTTTTCATTTCTATTTTGAAGTTACTCCATATTTGTAGCTAAAAATAAATTGGTTTGGTCATTTCAAAAGCTTCTTGGGCCCAAACCCAATTTCAAGTGTTTCACCAAGCTGTAAATTGAGGCAGTGCACTGGGGAAATGCAAGTTTGGGCTCATGTTTGCTCCCCCCTCATTAGCTCTCCCTTCAGTTCATAATCCATCATCTTTCAAACAAGCCAATTGCCATTGTGTCTAGAAGTTAAAATAGAAAATCAGCATTTGGCATGAACACAGTTGCCAAGAAGCTATTTCTCCTTGCCTGTGTAAATAAGTTGTCGTTCAAAAACGGTTGGCTTGCTCTAAAAGATGTGCTAAGCACTGCACTGTGCTCCCAGTGGGAGGAAAGAGGAGAGGATGCAGGATTGTGGCCAAGTAGTGCCCCATCCCCAGCTTCTCTCACTCATTCTGTTGAATGGGACTGTTCTTTGCTCTGGCCAAAATGCCCTTGGATAGTTCCTGTCTCAGGGAACAGGGCAGGAGTGATTACTGACCTTGCTGGTTATGCCCCCAAGTAAGGACCAAGCTCCACACAGGTGGTTCCCTTTAAAAGTGTTAATCTATATAGTTATATTGGATAATGATTTGTATTTATTTTACACCATACAGAACACACCTGTTAATCAGTATGACTAGATGTGAAAGAGAATAAATACTTCCAAACTTTACAGATATGAATCTAAGAAGATTGACCATGGATGGACTGTGCACAATGTATTTGTTCTGGCTGGCAGAAGAGACAGATGGTCTATGTACATATGACAGGTGAAATATGTATACCTACCTTACCTCCACTGAAGAGGTGCATCCTGTTCTGTATTCAATTGTGTAAGAGTCACTGTCCTCCTTTTGTGTAACTTGCAATAGTAGCACCTAATACACTGTGCTAATAAACTTAATAAGGCTATTTGGTGGCTGTAGACTTTGCCATGAGTGACACACAGCTTTTATCATGTTTGGCTTGGTCTTCTTGCTGGTTTGGTGGTTTTTTTTTTGCAAACTATGCCCCACACTTCTGACAGATGTCACAGGACTGTAACAGCCTTCCCTGTTCCAGAGTCTTCTAAAAGCAAGTGGTAAGAGTGCAGGCTTAAAGCAGGCTTTTAGATCACATCCTCAGCCTTCGCACTTCACACAGCCCGGCTCTGGTACTGAGGTGCATTAAGAGCAAAGAGAAAAGAAACAATAAAGAGCATCCCTCCCTGCTTGCTCTTGGAATTCAAATGGTGAGGAGTTGCAAGAGCTCAGTGGTACTGACACACAGTCAGTGGTGTGTCAGCCTCTGCTTTGCAGGACCAGGGTGCAGGCCCACATCAGAGACAGCTGTGACATCAGAGAAGATTTCTTGTGAGGCCAAACCATTGCACGGAGATGTGTTTTCACCTGCCAGGTCTCATTAGTGCTGTACATGGGAGCATTGGCTATGGGTAAAGGTGATTTGGTACAATTTGCTCTCAATAAATGTCTGTGAAAGTCAGAGAAACCTTTCAGTATTGCAGCATATAAAACACACAGTAAACACCAAAACCTGTTTTTTTAGAAATATTCAGCAAATCTGGAGCTCCCAAAAACTAACATAAAAACCTCTCTGTGCTTTGAAATGCTTCTTCACTTTTGTACTCTTGGATAAATGCAAGTTTTGCTATAAGGACAGTATAAAGCCTGAGAGGAATAATGAACCCTTATAAAAAATTTTTAAAGGCACCGATGGGATATGAAAATAGAATAAAAAAACATAACTCAGGTAGGGGTGGAATCACCATCTTTGAAAGTGTTTAAGAAACAAGTTAATATGGCACCTCCTGCTATGGCTTAGTGGGCAGGGTCAAAGGTTGGGCTTGATGATCCCAGAGATCTTTCCAACCAATGATTCTATGACTTTACCTCTGTTAGGATAAAGGAATGTTAAAGCAATATAAAACAATTTGCCATAAATATTTTACTGCAGAAGGAAGAAATGGCATAAGCACCTAAAATGAGGACAAAGGTAAGTAACTCCATGGCAAAGAGAGGCAGCCATGTGTACTTTGTGTGCTTCACAGATTGAACATGTAGCACATTCAATCTCTCCAATATAAATGACCCTTCTTTGCAGTTCAGATGTCACCTACAGAACATCACAGAAGTAAAAGAAACCTTTGGCCATCTGGATCTCACAATGCCTTGAGTACCATCTATTCCCAAGCACAGACTTGAAAATATGTGCATTAAGTCATTGGGAAGTTATTAGCATAATGTAATTTTATTTCATTTCACTTGTCCCCAGGACAGTCAGGAATAAACCAGAAGGTGAAATTAGACCCAGAAAATAAATGTTGTTGATTAGGTTGAAGTGTTTATTAGGCTTCTGTTTGAGTTTCCAGCCCACAAGAAGAATGGCAAGCAAAGCCTGTTAAAGACACATTTTGACAAGAACGCAGTTTTCTGTGGCTCCAACAAAATAAATATAGTAACACAGATGAACCTTTTAAAAGTCAGGCTTATGTGCTTGTCTGATCAGCACCAGCTAACAGTTTCATCTCTCCTGAATGTCACAGAAGCACACGAGCTGTGCCACCATGCAGTTCTCAAATTCTTTTCCTCAAAGGACATCACACACATAACAGGGGCTGTATATTCTGTATTCACTTAAACACAAATAACACAAAATGGCAATTGCAGGTGGTCTTCATCCCCAGGGAAAATTGTAAATAAAACACTGAGGCACACCTGGCTGATGTTACTCACACAGCTTAATTTAGTATGGATAGGCATTTATTTTGAATGGTAGAAAAGCAATATAGTAACACAGGTAGGATAGAAAAGTTTGTGTGTTTTTGCTTTCTTGCCAGATATACAGGTTAAAATAACTTTTCAGTCCATTCCAGCTACTGAGATAGGCTGGGAAGGGATAAATGGTATGAGCAGAATCCCTCCAAGGAGGGATGGTGAGTGCTTGTGCAAGGATAATTCTGAAATTCTGCTGTTAACCCACAGCTTGGAGCTCAGTGCAGGACAGACCAGCTGAAATGCTGCTAAAGAAAAAAAAAAACCTAAAAATGTTTATAAATCAATTCCCCAGATGTTGCCTAGAAAATACCTATGTCATATTATTTCTGTGTGCAAAAGCTAGTAGAATGCTTCACTAAAGCATCACCAAGTCAGCTGCAATGCTGTTTTAGATCTGATATTAACAAATCAATGTTTAGAGAAAATCTTGTCATCACAGGTCACTTTGGAGAACACTTTCCTAATGGCAGAAGAGTGAAGTTGTGTAAACTAAGGAATTTAATGTTTCGATACGAGATCTGGACAAAAGATTTCAAAGACTTGAAAATGGTCTTGGTGTAAACCAGAGAGGTGCTGCATCCAGAGCATAGCCTACATCTAAGAAATAGGAAATAAAAAAAGATCTAGAAAACCAGAGAGAAATTAATCTAAGCTGAATACACTGTGATTTCTTAGAGTAAATCTAGAGAGAAAAAAAAAATCTGGAAATAAATATAAATTCTGGTAAAATGCCAATCTGTATTTATCAGAGAGACAATAAACCAGACTCTCAGGAAAAGATTAATATAATATATTATATAATATATATATTATATATATATATATTATATAATATATATATTATATAATATAATAATTAATGTTTACCTGGACTTAAGCAGAAAAAAAGATACCCAGATAATTGGCTGTTTCCTTGTCAGCTGGTTTTTTGGCTGACAATAAACCGGGTTCTCAGGAAAGAATTATTATAATATATTGTGTTTACTTGGACTTAAGCAGAAAAAAGGTACCTGGATAATTGGCTGTTTTTTGGGGGCAAAGGGTAGAGCCAGACTGGTGGTGCAGAGTCCGTGTGTGCTAAGCATGGTCTGTCCCAAGCACAAACACAGACTGAAGGATGAACAGATTGAAAGCAGCCCTGAGGAGAAGAGCTTGGGGTGCTCATGGATGGGAAGCTGGACATGACACAGGAATGCACTCTGGATGCAGCCCAGGAACCAAACCCGTCCTGGGATGCACCCAAAGCCCCGTGGGCAGCAGGTGAGGGAGGGGATTCTGCCCCTGTGCTCTGCACTGCTCTGCTCTGCTCTGGTGAGATCCCACCTGGGGCACTGCATCCAGCTCTGGGGTCCCCAACATGAACAGGATGTGGACCTACTGGAAATCCAAATGAGATCTTGAAGATGATCAGATAATTGGAGCACCACTCCTATGAAGACAGGCTGAGAGAGTTGGGATTGTTCAACCCAGATAACAAAAGTCAGTGAGAACTACCAGCACCTCTGAGGACTTCAGGGAGCTACAAGAGAGCTGGAGAGGGACTTTTTCTAAAGTCATGTAGTGATAGGACAAGGGAAAATGGCTTTGAAATGAGACAAAGTAGATCTAGATTGTGTATTATAAAGGAATTGTTTCCTGTGAGGGTGGTAAGGCACTGGAATGTGTTGTCCAGAGAAGTTGTGGATGCCCCATCCCTGGAAATGTTCAAGTCCAGGCTGGAAAGGGATCTGAGCAACCTAAACTAGTGAGAGGTGTCCCTGCTCATGGCAGGTGGGTTGGAATTAGAAGATCTTTATGGTCCCTTCCAGCCCAAACCAAACCATGGTTCTATGAAGGTGCAGACAGAGCCTTTGGTGTTTTCAGTGAAAGTGAATTTAAAATAGCTTTCTAAGGATACATGGGAACATTTCTCAATCTCCTACAATCCCATTGGATGTACTGGTTTTTCCTGATGTTGGGGTGCTCACTTCACTGCTGCAGCAGCCCAGGTGATGCACAAGGCTGTGCCTGCAGCCAGGGTGCGGAAACAGCCCCCAAGCAAGGTTCATGCCCAGTGTAGCTCAAATGCTGCACAGCACACCTCCATGAGTCAGGCTGCAGTGCCACCCAAGAGAATAGGCAAGCCCACCACTGAGGAAGAGAAGGTATCCAAATAAAGCACAGAACAGAACCATGGAAACATTCATATTGGAAACTCTCTCAAAGATTTGTGTAGAAGGAGTTACCTGGCTGAAAGATTAACTGCTGGAAAACAGTCAGCACATTTGAGGGAGCTGTCAAGGTGTCCTTTAGGGCAAGGTAACTGAGTGAACCTCACCCTTAGAAATTTGAAAAACAATCTGCCTTGGGGTAAGAGCTCTTAACTTGCTTCCTGTGTAGGAGGAGAAAAATTGTGATGAACATGATGACTTTAAGCTGCTGGCAGGATGCAGCCCTGAAATGGGTGAATGAGATTTGCTCAACCTTGTAAAAGGAAAGCTGAGGTGGGATCCTGTTGCTGTTGATTAATAGGGAAGTAAATGTCAGGGAAGGGAGGATGTGTAGCAGATGAAGGAGAAAAGAGTATCATGTGCACGTGAAGGTATTCAGGCTGTAAATTAAAACTATGTTGGTAACCATCATATCAAAAGTCAAAAAGATGCAAGGATGAACAAATTCTCTGAAGTTTGCATATGGGGTTTGAGGCATTCCTATGGTTTCCTGTTTGAGAAAAGAACCTGCCTTAATACATTAGACCCACACTTCCTTAGATAAGAAACAGTAGCTTCATGTTTCCACAAAACTATTTCTTGTTTTACAGCAAGGAAAGCGTGCAAAGAATGAAACAACACATGTAAAGACATGAGGACATAGCACAGTGCATGCACCACCTCCCAGCTGCCCCTGTGATGCTCTAGCTCTGCTGCACAGAGGAGTCAGAGGAGCTGGCAGCAGCTCACGTGAGGCAACAGAACATGTTCTACTGAATTCTCTGAGACCTAAACTGAGCCAGCAATGCCGAGCTCAGGGCAAGTATTTCTTGTTATCTCTGGAACCAGCTGGTTATGGACACCAGTACCACCTGGAGGAGGCTGAGCAAACCCAACCCCTCTAACCTACATTTGCCACTTGGAGTAAGTACAAGACTGAAGAACCATTGATTCTGGGGGCAGCAGTTCAGGTGACTTACTCTGT